ATTATGAAAATCGCGATAAGGGCGTGACCAAAGGGATGAACGTGTCTAGACACGCTTCTACGCAATAGCCCTCTGGGGGGAAGGAGGGGGGACATACCTGCACGTGCACGTCCATTTCCTGGAAAAAGGGGGGAGGGAGCGTGGGAAATTCCCCAATACTGGCCACTTACTACTCTTCCCTTCTTCTGACGTTCCATCATGATTGCCCCCCCATACAATTCTGTATGATACTCACGAGCTAAATGGATTCTGTGGCAAGGAATTTGGAGTTGCGGTAATCCCCTTCTGCACCGTGCAGTGTAAACCACATTTTGTGTGGTATCGTGATGAATAAGATGGTGACATCGGGTCCATTTGCATACTGGATGTCTATTAGCGACGATGAAATTGGCATTTGACGATGTGAAAGTCAGCAGCAATGGTTGTGGTGGTTCTCGGGATGACCTAGTTACATTGATCTCGATTAATTCTCACGAGGCTCTCCATAGTGGGACTTTGAGTCTTCAACCTGTGGTAGAGATTAACGATGAGGAATTGGGAGGCATTCAAAAAAGTAAATGCTCAACATCGCAGGAGTCATCTGACGTTATGAACGAAGCCTATTACTTCATACAATTGTTTCACTCCAGCTTATTCCGAAATCTGATCTGATATTCGACTCAATGATTGGTGGAGGCAGCCAGGGGAAAGTTTTCAAAGGGGAACCCCTGTTGCCATCAAGGAAATTAAATTGAATTCTCAAGCTGTGAAATTCACGCAGAGAGAATTAGAAATCCTCGACAGCATTCATCATCCGAATATTATTCAGATCATTGCACTGTCAATCCATGCCAAAAAAATATACATTCTAATGGAGCTGGTTGACGGGCATTCACTGTCAGACATTCAGGATAATGAAGAGACACAGACGATGTACCAATGGAATCTTCAATTGAAGAAAAGCATAACGGTTCAGTTATCTAGGGTAATCAACTTTTTGCATAAATTACCAAATCCCATCATCCACAGAGACATAAAACCGGAAAATATTTTATTCAGTTACGATGGACGTGTCAAGCTTTGTGACTTAGGACTAAGCATTTTTCATCAAATGATTCCAGCATTGAGGACGACAACGGGACATCGCTCAAGAAAAGGTTCCCTAATATATATGGCGCCAGAAGTGCTACTTGGTGGTGCACGTTCGACTGTTGCTGCCGATATTTGGGCAATTGGTTGTACAATCGTCGAAATTTACGCCGAGAAATGTGTGTGGGATCTCAGCGAATCAGCACCAGAGGAGCATCTGAAATCAATTCTAGAAGACAAGTTTATACCTAATCTCAATGAAATTCCAGCAACTCTTCTTCTTTTTTTTTTTTAATTAACTATGTTTTTATTCTCGGGTCTCTCTAAACCCCTTGACTGGGGTGCGGAGAGCGCGGTTGAGCCACCAACCGAGCGCGTCTCCGGGTGGTGGATAGGAGGACG